CTATTCATCACCTTAAATAGAGTATGAAATAGTTGATATTAATCGAATTTCTAGTCATTTTTTATTTTAAGTCTATCTTATGTTTAATCTTCTTTTTCAGATTTTTCTGTTGAATTATTTACACAATCGTACGTAATTGATTTGAATTTTTCTCGATATTTTTTAAAATAATAAAAAAGAAACCAGTTTTCGTTTTCCTTATATACTATAATAATATCTATTTAAGATGCTCTCATGTTAAATACTTCTACAATACAGTCAAATACAGATGATAAATCACATCTGTTCGAATCAACATCATCTAAATATACACGACATAGTACTATTCGTAAACAAGTTATAACAAATATTCCGGTCGATGATAATGAATCCGCAGCTATTGAAATACAAGAAAATAAGCCTATGCTATCTTCTGTAGTCAATACATCAAACGATAATCTACCTTTACATTGTATATCAACTGAATGTTCCACAAGTAACGATTCATCTCATACTGGCAATAATAGAATAATTTTAAATGTCGGTGGTATTAAACATGAAGGTAATTTGAGTTCTTTTTTTACCCGCATAATAACCAATTTGAATTTGTAGTAATGTGGCGTACACTTGCTCGTCTACCATATACTCGTTTAGGTCGTTTAGCAGAATTACGTCAATCAACAATATTATTATCATGTCCAATTTCACATGATGAACTTCTACGTTTATGTGATGATTATGATTTATCAAATGGTGAATTTTTTTTCGATCGTTCATCGCGTTCATTTACATCAATAATTAATTTTTATCGTACAGGAAAACTTCATTTAGTTGATGATATATGTGTTATATCATTTCACGATGATTTAATTTATTGGGGTATTGAAGAATGTTATTTAGAATTATGTTGTTTAAATAAATATTATCAAAAAAAAGAATATGTTTTAGACGAAATAAAAAAAGAAAGTGAATTAACTCAAGTTGAAAAACATGATATATTTGGTCAAGGTTATTGTTCAAATATTAAACGGAAAATATGGGATCTTGTTGAACATCCTCAAACATCAATAGCCGCACGTGTATGCTTTTTGTCTTGTTTTCTTTTTCAAAGAATAATTTCTTCATGAAATTTAGATTATTGTCTTCATCAGTATTGCGTTTATTTTACTCTCAACCCTTACATTAATTATAGGTACAATCGAAGGTATATTTAAAATAAAATTTTATTTCAAAATAATATTTTTCTACTAAGGTATTGGTTGTACACCAAATATGACTAATATTGAAATGAATGAAGAACAAACATCTTCAAATCATCGAATTTCTCAACAAGATAAAATTCCTGATGAATGTAATGAACCATTATTTTTATTTCTTATTGAATTAATATGTATATCATGGTTTACAATTGAATATATTATTCGTATATTTACAACACCTAATCGATGTAAATTTTTGAAAAGTCTTTTAAATATAATTGATCTTATTGCTATTGTACCATTTTATATTTCAATTACACTTGAAACAATATATATGGATAATATAAAAGATTTGCAAAGTGTTAGAAAAACTGTACAAGTATTTCGTGTATTACGTATAGTACGTATACTTAAATTAGCACGTTATTCAACTGATCTTCAATCATTAGGTTATACATTAAAACGAAGTTCAAAAGAATTATTTATGCTTTTAATGTTTCTTGGTATATCGATATTATTATTTTCAAGTTTAGCTTATTACGCTGAAAAAGATGGAAATGCACTTCAATTTCGATCAATTCCACATGCTTTTTGGTGGGCTATTGTTGTAAGTTGAAAAATTTTTATCAAATATAATCTAAAAGATGATATCGAAGTGTATAGGAGAAAAAAATTATCGTTGACAGACACTCTGAGTAATATGTATCAATAGTAATGTATTCTGAAATAGATAGATTTAGACAACTAGATCGTATTTTATATTTTAATTTGTATGAAAAACTTTCTTTTTGTTTTCTTTTTTAATAAAAAAACAAGACGATGACAACAGTTGGCTATGGTGATATGTATCCAAAATCTGTATCGGGTAAATTAATTGGTTCAGTTTGTGGTATTTGTGGTGTACTTGTTATTGCATTACCAATACCAATTATAGTTAATAATTTCAGTGATTATTATAAAGAACAACAACAACGTGAAAAATTCTTAAAACGTAGAGAAGCTATTGAAATGGATAAAACTGATCGATCAAGGGTTTTTACACAATCACAGATAATATCAAATACAAATTCATCTGATGATAGTAGTACTGCACAACGCAGAAATGCTGTTGAATGTGTATCATGTCTTGTACATACAAATGATGAATCATTGTATGATTTATCATATTATGACAAGTTAGCATCATCATCACCAACAAAACAAATGTCACATACACTTCATCTTTTTTCCGATAATAATCAAAATATAAAAGAACAAGATGTAGATGTGAAAGAAATATTACTTCCTAAAAAGTAATATTTCAATTGATAATATAATAAGAAAAACATTTTTTTTGTTAGTGCATTGTATTTATTTTTATATATCTATTCGACGTTAAACCCTAAGATATTTTATTTTTTATGATTACTCGCCTTTTTTTCTTCTTTTTTAGGATAGAATTTTTATTTTTTTTTATACTTATTTGTTCGAATATTAACGTGAAGAAAAAGTTAAAATCAATGTTATCTATTCTATGAATTTTAAATAACTGAAGAATATAATCAGCTAGAGACTTCATTTTTAATCGACCGAGTATATTATGTTTTGTCATCATTTAGAATGAAAAGAATGTCATTTTTTCTTCATATGCATGTGAATATACATATTTGAAACAGTCATTATTTATTTTGAAGTCGATTATAAACGAAATACAATTATTGTTGAGCTAAATAAATTAAAAAAATTATCAATTAAAGATTTGCAAAAACCTGATTTTTGTGGTTTCTTAAATTTATATGTTGAATATGATAATGCAAGAAGTTTCATTGAAAAAAAAGTTAAAAAATCGATACCACTATTTTTCGACAAAGTAGACCAAATAGAAGGCAAAATCGGACAAATATTCACCGTGTATTTAGAGATCAAAATAGAATCCAGTGTATTCTACAATATTATTATCTTTTGACGAAATATACTACATCATAAAAAAATTTATTTTCAACATTTCGATGATTTCTAGATAACATAGACCCTATTTATGACTCATAGTACATAGATATAGATATTTTATTCGTATGATTAAACTCGTAACGTAGAATATCCGAGAAAAATCTGGTGCACACAGAAACAGAAAATGTTGTCTAATACAACTTCATCTTTTTTTATATTATGTTTGCACCATATATTATAAGAATGACGATAGTATTCTTCTTTTTTGCTCTAATCATTGTATCGTCATCTTCATCTCTTGCTTGACTTCATAAATATTTCGATTATCTTGACAGAAACTGTTAAATATGATATCATAAAAAAGTGCATTAAGCACTGTTGACTCGTAAATATCTTATCATTTTTATGTCTATTTCACTTGAATATCATCACCATGTGCGTCATTACAGTGATGAAGCATATATATATATATATATATACGTATATCGAAGATTTATAGAAGGGCAATCGACTTAAAGCAACCATTTTTTATTGAATAATCGTTAAAACAGAGTAGAACGAATATTAACGGTATCTTAAGAGCAAATAGGTGGAGAGAGAGAGAGAGGCAAAAAACATGTATGTGATGATATTTACTTATTACACGTATACAGAAATAAGTTGTCGTTAAAGCGAGAGATACAGTACAACACTTTTATTGTAATTATATTTATCTTAGACAATATAGAATTTCTTTCAGTAATCTTTCTTATTTTTAAAACGTTTATGATAGATATTCATCTTAGATACTACTTGTTAAATTATTCCAATACAAACTTCAACATCTTCTGATTGATACTGTTTTTTGAGCAGTCGCTAGAAATAATTAATTTTTCTTTTTTTTTCTTTCTTACTATTTTCAACTTGAATGAGAAGAACAAATATATTATATATATCAATAGGATTCCTTTTCTGCTCAGTATGAAATTTCTAGTATATCTAATAGGACCTTCCAACAGGCGTACACCTGAGATCTTTGTTTTCTACTAACTGTAATTAATTAAAATTTCCTTATCATATATTACATATTTACCAAAATATAGATGCAAAGTTTCAGTATTGACGAGTCTGATGTAGAAACGACTCGGAAAAGTACTTATAGTGTGTCAAAGAAACTGTTTTGGCCTGTGGTATTATTGTCTGCTGCTATATTTATTGTTTTACTCGTATTAACTATCTATTTTGGTGTTAATCAAAAGAGTAAAAATGAGGTTGAAACTGGATTAACGATAGTATCTACTACTACCACTACTAGTTTACCTACAACAACGACAATTTCTCCTTTACCACCTGTTCAACGCATTCCTACCAATTTACAACAGCTATTTTATCACTTAACTATTACGCCTGATCTTATAGATGAATCATTCACAGGTAAACACATTTTTGAAAGAAATAATCTCTGTATTACGACGTTCAATATAACCTTATATTAAAAGACTAGTCGTGGAATTAGGATTGTGATCTAGAGGAAGCAATACATCTATAATTTCTTAAAAATTGTTTGAATATTTTTGGAGCGTATCACGATCATTGTGATAATATTCGTTTAGTTTTATCCTTAGAAACAGACAATCTATAGAATATATTTAATTCGATAAGAACAAACATTCTGAATAGTCCATATTGAGATAATATTTGAAGTTTACAATATTTCTAACGAATATTTTTTTAAACGTCTCTTTCATTATAGGAAATCTTCTGTACACATTTGTCTGCGTTGAAGCTACCAATGAAATGGTACTACACATGGCAGACTTGTCTATTAACAATTCAACTATAAGCATTATCAATTCATCTTCCAATTCGATACCCAGATTTCTTTCATGGTCCTACGATGATTATAATGAATTTATGATAATCAAATTTTCGTCGGATTTTATTCCAGGAACCACCTATACAATTCACATAGATTATGAAGGTGATATTATTCGTGATTTAAATGGTCTATATATAAGTGATTATGTTGATATTAATGGACAAGATGGTATCTTCATGGCATCTCAGATGGAACCAACCTATGCTCGAGGTGTTTTTCCATGTGTTGATGAGCCTGCGCGTAAAGCTATTTTTATAATCAATATCATACATGATTCTTCGTATGCTGTATGGTCTAATGGAGAAATTGATAGAACTGAAACACTTAGTGATGGACGAATAGTTACACATTTTACCCCAACATTGAATATGTCCACATTTCTACTGGCATTTATTATGGCACCCAAATCTGACTTTGCATGTCGACCAAATCTTATTATTAATTCTAAGAATATCACATCGAGAATTTGTGGACGTGTCGATATTCTTTCACAATTAGCTTATGCCGATGAAGTAGCTTACAAAGTATTAGAGTTTTTCAATACATACTTTGATATAGATTATCCATTGCCTAAAATTGAACATTTTGCTGTTCCCGATTTTGGCGGAGGTGCTATGGAAAATTATGGTAAACATAAAATTTCTTTGAATGAAATAAACTTCAATTCATGATTAAATTCTTCTCATTTTAGGTTTGTTGATCTACACTGAAGTGGGCCTATTCTTCGATGAGAAAACCGTATCAACTTCAAGAAAACAAGACATCACCTTATTAATAGCCCATGAAATAGCTCATCAATGGTTTGGCAATTTGGTTTCACCGGCTTGGTGGAATGAACTGTAAGTTCTCACAGTATTTTTTCCTAAAATTATTTATCATCTAATCTTCAATAATATATAGATGGTTAAAAGAGGGATTTGCTACTTACATGGAAACATTAGCCGCCGATTCTGTCGAACCTTTATGGATGCAAGAAGAACAATTTATTGTCAACAAGATCTTTGAATTTATCGAAGCCGACTCGTTACCAACGTCACGACCAATCAGTATTCAATCAACAAATCCAGCAGATATTTTTCAATTGTACGATTCGATTACTTATGAGAAAGGAGCAACAGTCATTCGTATGATGTCAATGTTTTTGGGTGCTGAAACATTTCAACATGGTATTCGAACGTATTTGAAAGCATTGAGTTATGGCTCGGCAACACAACAGCAGTTATGGAAATATATGAGCGATGCTGCCAATAATACAATTAACGTCGAACAGATCATGGAAGGATGGTCACGACAAGCAGGTTATCCAATTGTTGAAGTCAATCGAGTTTACAATACAGATACACCTCGTATGGTAATTAGTCAACGACCCTTCAGTCTTTTTTCAACAACATCCAAACAAGAGAAATGGTGGATTCCATTCAAATATTTTAATCAAACATACACTAAGGTAAAGAAATCAATCACCCTACTGTTCAATGTCTTTACTCTCTATTATCTATAGGAATTGTCTGGAAGTGAAATTATATGGCTCAATGATACATCAGCCACGGTCAATATCACTACTTCAGATTCAGATTGGATCTTGGCCAATCCTGATTATCTCAGTATCTATCGAACAAAGTATGACACATACAATTTCCATCTCATTATTACTCAACTTCAAACAAATCATAAACGTATTCCAACTATTACTCGAGGTGCTCTTATCGATGATACTTTTGCTCTATCACGTGCAGGTCTTATGAACATAACGGATGCCTATGAACTCATTAGATATCTGAAGAGTGAGACAGACTTTGTACCGTGGATAGCAGCATTGAAAGCAATGGATCAACAAGAACAATTACTTGCTGATCGTAATATTCTTGTTGATGTTCAAAAATATTTTCTTGAACTTATTCTTCCTATTTACAATACTTTCGGATGGACGACAATTAATCATTCGACTGAATGGCTTCGAGCTCTGTTACAACCGAATATTGTATCAACTGTTTGTCAATATGGTCATCGAGAATGTGTTGAAGCAGCACGCAATATCTACCGTCGTTGGTATTTGAATCCTACTCTTAATCAAATTCCAGCTGATCTACGTTCAGTCGTCTATTGTACAGTTGTTCGTGAAGGTACACAATCTGAATTTAATTTCTTATGGACTCGTCTTCAAACAGAAACAGTTGCTAGTGAAACATTAAATTTACTTCAAGGCCTCGCATGTACACAAGATTCATCATTGATTATTTGGTTTCTCGATCAACATTTAATAAATGATTCCATTATTCGTGATCAAGATTTACCATGGTCAATAGCAAATGTTGCTCGTTCACCTCGTGCAAATCAACTTGCCTGGAATTGGATTCGTAATAATTGGGCAATACTTTTTGAGAAATCAGGAAAATCAGATAATAATCTAGGTCAAATTATCGAAGCTGTATCAAGTCGATTTGTTACTGTTCGACAACAAAAAGAATTCAAAGCATTTGCTGATTCAATTACTGATAAAGGTAAATAATTGAATTCATTCTCTCAACGTGTATTCTACTATTCTTTCAGGCACTGCTTCTCATCAATTTCAATTGTCTACTGACCAAATCAATGCAAACATAGAATGGATAACAATCAATCTCAATTCAATCATTGCATTCTTTCGTTCAAACAATGAATCATCCATTGTTAACCATCGTTTGCCATCGGATGTTGTTCCGATCCATTATGATCTCAATGTTAAACCCTATTTGAATATTACTAATGATAATCTTCGATTTTCCAATTTTAATGGACGAGTTCATATTCATATCAATGTCATTCGTATCACTGATCGCATTATTTTACATAAACGTTTCATTACGATACAAGAACCTATTGTAATAACCGGTGGCTTGACAGTAGTATCAACAACATTCAATCCAGATTCGGATTTTTTTACCATTATACTCAATCGATCATTACAAGTGAATGAACAACCAATTCTAACATTGAATTATATAGGTGAACTAAGAAATGATACGGATGGTTTCTATCTCAGTTCATATATACGATCATCAGATAAAGTTCGACGATATTTAGTGGCTTCACAAATGGAACCAATTGCAGCACGGCGAGCTTTACCATGTTTTGATGAACCTGCTCTTAAAGCAACGTATACAATAACAGTCGAACATGAACAACAGTATCGAGTATGGAGCAATATGCCTATTGAGAGTAGTACACCCCAACCAAATAGTTGGCAATTGACACAATTTCAAAAAACCGTACCAATGAGCTCATATTTATTGGCATTAGTTGTCGCTGATTTCGATTGTTTAACACGAAATAATACGGGAAGATTCGGAAATATTACAACAAGTGTATGTGCTCAATCAGAGAAAAAAGATGATTTGAACTATGCACTGGAAATAGCAACGGAGAATATTCGTGATTTCGAAGAACAATATCAAATTAATTATCCACTATCGAAATGTGATCATATAGCTGTACCTGATTTTGATGCTGGTAAAGACTTATGTGAAATCTGCTAATCATCATTTTATTTTTTTTCAGGTGCTATGGAAAACTTTGGATGTATTCTTTATCGTGAAACACGACTTTTCTATAACAATCGCACATCCTCATCGGCAAATAAACAAAGTGTTGCAAGAGTTATTGCTCATGAGGTGATAAAGAAAGAACCATTTGTATGATCTTGCCTTTTCTATTATTTTTTTATCATCTAGCTTGCTCATCAATGGTTTGGTAATCTTGTTTCACCTGCCTGGTGGGATGATTTATGGCTTAACGAAGGTTTTGCAAGATGGATGGAAATCGTTGGCACAGATAAAGTTCATCCAGAATGGGATTTATATCAACAATTTATTTTTCAAAATTGGCTTGCTGTCATGCAAGACGATGCTGTATCTTTTTCGCATCCGGTTAACATGAAATTGACAAATAATAATCAATTAACAAGTATTTTTGATACAATTACTTATTCCAAAGGTTCTTCATTACTTCGAATGATGAGTAATTTTATGTCTAATACGACTTTTAACAAAGGTGTAACACGATATCTTGAACGTTATTTATATTCGACTGCAAAACAAAGCGATCTTTGGCAAGCATTAGGTGAACAAATGTCTATCGATAATATACATTTACCAAGTAACACAAATCTTGACATGATTATGAGTACATGGACAAATCAAATGGGTTATCCATATGTTCAAATCATACGTGATTATGTAACTGGTAATGTAAAAGCAATTCAACATCAGTTCTTGTTCGATTCAACAGCACAACCACCTCAATCGCCACATAAATATCTTTGGTACATTCCACTTAAATTCAAATCTTCATCAACATTAATGTCAAGCATCACATGGTTCAATCAATCACAAGTGGATATAACAATGGATATAAACGTACAATCAAATGAATGGCTTTTAGCTAATCCAAATTTATTGGGATTTTTTCGTACAAATTATGATACACAAAATTGGAAGATGATCATTGATCAATTAAAAACTGATCATACGAAACTGACCGTTACTGAACGAGCAGGTCTTGTCGATGATGCATTCAATTTAGCTCGAGCAAGTAAGAATTTAAATAGAGCACACGTAAACTAATAATTATCATATGCTTTTTTGTTCTTGACAGATATTCTACAAACATCACTCGTATTCGATCTACTCGATTATGCTCGTTCCGAAACTGAATATATCGTTTGGGAACGTATAATTGCAGGTCTTACCTATATCGAACAGATGATTGCTTTGAAAAGCTCGGATTTTATTTTGTACGAACAATTTCAATCATATGTGATCGATCTTATCTTTCCCGTCTATACGCAACTCGGTTGGCAACAACAATTATCGAATATTACTGATAAATGGCTTGATACACTTCATCGAGATTTAATATTATCGACAGCATGTCGTCAGAATTTAGATGATTGCGTTCAACATAGTCAATCGCTTTTCGAACAATGGTTTAATCAACCATCAAATAATTCCATTGAAGCCAATCATCGTTCTGTTGCCTATTGTACTACTGTGCGTTTAGGTGGTCGAGCTGAATTTCAATTTCTTCTTCGTCAATATCAAGAATCAAATGATCCACAAGAAAAAGCTAGAATACAATCGGCATTGGCATGTACACGTGATATTCAATTAATTCGATATTTACTCGAGATTCATGTCAATCCTCAATTGAATATTATTCGAACACAAGATGCTCTCTCTGGCATGCGATCAGTCTGTCGAAATTTTATTGCAGAAACTGAATGCTGGGAATTTATACGTTCTCGATGGCAACAATTATTTCAACAGTTTGGTGGATCACTCAGTTTTGTTGATCTTATCAAAGATGTTACAGCACGATTCAATACCGAACAACAGTTAAGTGAATTTGAACGATTTGTTGAACAGACACCAGCTTCAGTGAGTTAATGATTCATTTTTTTTTCATATTTAGAAATATCTATTGATTTATATAGAATATTGTTGCATTTCAAGCAGTAATCGAACGTATTCGTTACAATATTCAATGGATTGAAAAGGCAAAACCAAATTTAGCTGAATGGTTTATGAATCGAACAATGGCAATTCGTCTTTCATCCGACTGGATTCCATCTCAATATGATCTTCATTTTGATGTACGTCTTCGTACGATTTATCCAAATAATGCTGAACCAGACACATCACTTGTGGGTCATACACGTATTATTGTCCGTTGTAATCAAATGACTAATGAATTTCGAATTCATATGAAACAATTACAAATGTCTTCTGTGACATTAAAACGACGTGATACATCGAACAATTTAATTATCGATTGGACATGGATATCACAATCGGAAATACTCCTATGTCGATTGAAAGAACGATGTATAAGGAATGAAGAGTATTTATTCGACGCACAATATACAACGACATTGAGTAGAGATATGGCCGGATTCTATTTAAGTCAATACAATGTAAAAAATACAAGTACAGGTGATATTATTACACATAATATTGCAGGCACTCATATGCAGGTATTAAATAACAACAAAAATCATTCTCTTTCTCTTTCTCTCTATCTTTAATTTATTTTCGTGTATCTTTTAGCCAACCTTAGCTCGAACAGTTTTCCCATGTTTTGATGAACCAGCATTCAAAGCTAAATTTAACATTTCGATTACTCATGATCCTAGTTTTACTGTTGTTCGATCGAATGGTGCTATGCTCGACGGAGGTCAACCTATACTACAAGCTGATGGTCGTTTGCTGTCTCGTTTCGAAGAAACACCACTTATGTCAACATATCTTGTTGCATTTGTTGTAACTGATTTTGAATGTGTTGAAGATGTGACATCAACAAATATTACAATCAATGTATGTGGACGACCTGAAGCAATTCTTAATGGTGAAGGCGATTTTGCTCTTGAAGTGAGCAGAAAAGTATTACCTTACTATGAAGAATCCTACAATATCTCATATCCACTGAGTAAATGTGATCACTTTGCTTTACCAGATTTTGCTATCGGTAACTATTTGATTTTGTACTAAATAATTTATTGTTCATACTTCTTCTTTTACAAATAGGTGGCATGGAAAATTGGGGTCTTATCACGTATCGTGAGACAGCTCTCCTCTACAATAATGTAACTGGTAGTCTGGCTGATAAACGGCGAGTAGGTGACGTTGTAACACATGAGTTAGCTCATCAATGGTTCGGTGATTTTGTTTCTCCTCAATGGTGGAATGATCTCTGGTAAATGAAAGACTCAATTATTCGATATACCTTTTTTTTCTCTGACTCTTTCTACAAAGGTTAAACGAAGGTTTTGCTTCATGGGTCGAAGTACTTGGCCTTAATTATACGAATCCAGAATTTCATTCTTTCGATACATTTGTAACTGGTAAGCAAGTATTTCATCAATTCTTTGAAAAGAATACTAAGAATATACCATATATTCATTCTCTTTTATCTTCTAGCCACTGTTCATAATGCTCTGGCCATGGATAGTCTCTTTTCGAGTCATCCAATAAGTGTCGAAGTCAATCATCCAGACGAGATTAATTCTATATTCGATGCCATTTCGTGTAAACTTTGTTTATCTATTTCTCTATTTTGTTCTACTATGACAGTATTATTTTCGATATACTTTAGATGATAAAGGTGCGTCGATTTTACGAATGATCTACATTGTTCTCAGTGAACCAACCTTCTTTCATGGTATCAGCAATTATTTAAATCATTTTCAATATGGTAACGCTGTACAAGATCAATTGTGGGCCTTCCTAACTAATGCCACCAATCCATTGGCACTTGCTGGTAACACTGTTAAAACGATTATGGACACTTGGACTCTTCAAGAAGGGTATCCTCTTCTCACAGTGACACGTAATCAAATCGATGGTTCAATTTCCCTTTCACAAAAACGCTATCTACTCGATCCTTACACATCAAATCTAACATCAATTTATGTGAATCCATTTACATCCTTTCCATTTCAATGGTATATTCCTTTCAATTATATAACTTCGGCGGGTTTGTCATCGTTCGATTGGCTTGCTCCGAATCAAACCCGTATT